ATAGCTAACACGACTTAACCATTAAAAAATCTCACAGGACTGTATTTCCGTGGTGGGCAGCACTGCATGCTAGTGCATGAACTCTTGAGAGTGCCTTCAAAAAAAATGCTGCATTAGTATAGTTTGGGAAAATGTGTCTTTCAGAGGAGGAAGAACTAGAAGAGGCTGACAGCCTATGGATTGGAGCAGTAATCGTGATTCTGGAATGCTTTATATTATACCTTAAATACATTATGGAATATGAGATTTTCACATTTTGTCCAAAAAGAAAAAAGATGTAAGGATGACCACAAATGAATCAGGCAAATTTGGAGAACAGCAAAGATTGCAAACCTGTGGCCTTCAAATATTCAGTTATATTTTTCAGTATCCCTCACAGTTTTAAATGATAGTATGGGCTCCTGGAAATTACAGCTTGCCAATATCTAGAAGGTCAAATTTTTATGTCTCTAAGAGGGAGAAAAATTGAATAAAAGTAGGATGAAGACTTGTGAATATAAAGATGTCAATGCAATACAAACATAGCCAGTTTGAGGGTGCCCTGAATTGGTTTGAATGTTGATGTAACATTCTGAACTTGTAGCATACTACTGGTATGCTAAAAATGGGGCTAGCTTTTAAACATGGATGTATATTATGTTTCTGTAGATCATAACAATATTTTAATTCTATGAAACCTGCCTTGGTTTGTAATCCAGCATTTGGACAAAGTATTTGGAGTGAGTGTCTTCAATCTCAACTTTCTTTTTTGTCTTTTAATATAGTCCCCTTGTTCCACAAGTCATTTCAGGATATTCCTACTGTTGTGAAGTGAATTCCAAATTGAAATATGAGGGACTCTGTGATCTAAAAAGGATTTGTTATCCAAAATGGATTACCCTAGTATATATCAATAGAGGCCCAATCCAGTATGTTCAGTAGTGACTACGAGTTGTGGCCTCTGATGTCATGTGAGTGAAGTTCATTGCTGCTGATTTCAGATGATGCATCATGTTTAAAATAAGACACTCATCTGCTTGTTTTGCCGAAGTATTTTCTCTGAATTTGGAATAATTATTTTCCCACCATCTTTGGGTTTCTGAACCAATGGTGTCTCGCTATTGATGCAAACTTTGGCCTAGTTTTGTGTAATGTTTCAGAAACTGTTTCTAATTCCTGGCTCATTTTACTACTATTCCATGTTTCAATAAATGTACTGTCTCTGCATTTAATTTATTTGTTGTGAAATTTCTTGCTAATATTTGAATGTATGAGGAAAAGTGTACACAAAATATTTGGGACAGTAACAGCAGTATTCTGAATCTATAAATCTTCATTGTTTATTTCCTGTTCTTTATTTACACTGAGATGTAAAGGTAAGCAATAGCAATTACAATTTAAAAACAAATCACAATGGATATGAACAAAAGAAAGCAAAGAAGCAAGTAGGAAAGGAAAATAACTGGCATGATAAAAAAAACATCTCATTTTGTAGACTCTCAGATGTTCATGTTTTCAGATTTTGAATCATAATTTGTCAATTGAAAGCTGCAGGTTACAATAATCCTTCATTTACTTTGCTTATTAGAAGTTCCTGGGTTACCCATGGAAATGAATGTGGCAGTTACATAAGAGTAATGTATGCTGAATTGTCTAAATCATTTCTTGATCCTTACGTTTAAAAAAGTTGTTTTGATCAGCTGACATTTTCTAGGCTTGCTAGAAATATGTTCAGTAATCCATGTTTTGTATATTGTACGGATACGCACCTGCATGTATCAATTACAGTATTTATAGTTAATAATACAGTATGCAAATTTATAATGGATTATAAAACCAGTTATGTGTATGCAGAAAGAAAAGGTCAGGGGAGCTTTCTCAGTCATAGAAATAATAGGATGGAAAAGCAGATTATGATGAGAATAGTACCAACTTCTTTCTGCATGTGCAGTTGAGCAATTGTTAAGATTGAGTCTGTTTAATCCTAAAATAAAATGCAGAGTCCATATAATTCATACTAGATTGCAAGGAAAGTCCCTAGCCTGGCAATGTCTGTTTTGATCTGCCTTCTTAGAATTCCCATGTTGGTTATGCTGGCTCGCTGTTTCCAAAATTGCATATTTTTTAAGGGATTTGACTGGACAATGACTTTTACAAAGCACTTAAGTCCCTCTCTACCTACCTTGAACTGTCAGCAGGCAATGTCCATACCTTTAAAACATATATCCAATTGTGTTAAACTTCAGGCTTTAGTGACTTCCTGATGCTTTGTTTACAACTTCAAGGCAAAATGCTGCACAGACTGCAGGCAACAGAACAAGGACTGAATGGGCTCTTGTCTTTATAAGTAAGTGTTCTGACTTGTCATTGCTTGCATAGCTGAACACTTTGTCTCTGAAGATGTGCTTTCACCAGCCACAGTTGCTGGTGAAATGTTAGGAAATCTTTTCTCTATATTATAGTCACTAAAACCTGAAGCCCAACAGGTACCAGCCATGAAAGCCAGCAGCCAGTATAGCATACATTAACTTCAAACGTTAATGATAGTAGCTTGGATTTCAAGGTAACTGAATTTATTCTGCTTATTATTTTCTAGTGTTCTTTGCTCCTGTCTGAGTTGCAAAACACATAGTCATAATTCATTGTTTTCATAAACCTTTCTGAACTGTGTGGTAATTCAGACTATGATTTATAGTTACAGACATACCAAGATTTGTACAGGTTGGGAATGTCAAGGATAGGATAATATCTAGACATAGTCTGCAATCTTTAATGCATAAATCCTGTACAGTAGAGTAATGCCACATTGGGATGGTAATGTGCATTACAGGTAGTTCCCACCATATGACTACAATTGGGACCTGGAATTTCAGTCAGTAAGCAATGCAGTCATTAAATGAGTCGTGAGTGGACCCATTTTTATGACATTTTTTACTGAGGTCATTAAGCAAAACTAGCTTCTCCAATTAACTACTTGTTGGAAGCCAGCTGGGAAGATTGCCAATTACAATCACATGACTTACAAGATGTTTTAACCCTCCTAAATATGGGTTGGTTACCAAGTGCCCGAATTGCAATTCACTGGTATTGGAAGAACTATCCATCTGGGTCAATTCCAATTCAGGAGAAAGGCACTGGAGATAAAATGGAGGCTGGAGGCTGATTGGAAAGCAACATTTATTGATAAAGCAGAACCACCAAGCACATGTGATTCTGGGCAGCTGACAATGGAGTTGAAAGTGGGGATATATCTTTGGGCTTTATATTTGAGCTTCCTGTTCCTGTGCAAGAACATGTCCTTTAATATTCTATTAGCTATCCTGTGGGATCATATAGGGGTTATATAGGGGTCATAGCTGGCTCTATATACAAAAGAGGAAATGCAAAACCTAGGTGCTTGTCTGGGCTAATTTGGTCAACCTCTGACTTATTGTTTATCTCCCAGGTTTGAAGTTTGGATTGCTCTAGGGTTAGTGCAATGAAGGGGCTTTGGGCTGCTTCTAATCCTACCATTGTACTTTTATTTCAAAATATTCTGTCTTGAATGGATTACCAAATCTGCATTTCTAAAAGGTAGCCTCCTCAGTTTCTGCTTTGGGGCAGGGAGACGGGCTGCTTCCTGCCTCTAAAAAATATGTTTCTCCATTTCTCATTTAGGGAAATATAATATTCTTCTTTTTTTAATATTCCTCAAAATATTTCATGGGGCGGGGCCTTGGATAACTAGTAAAGGGGAATGAAGGGATTGATACATTTATAATTTGAATGCAGGCACATTAATCTCATACTGACATGCTCCAACTGTGGTCCGTGCTGGCTGAAAATTAAGGGAAGATAGTATGGTAACTTGGGAGAAATAGCCTTCTGGTTCAGTTCGAAGTGGGGAAGAAAGACACTGGAAACATGGTGACTGCTTGGAAAGATGGTTTAATGGTGGACAGGATCACATGCCTTAGAGCTGGATGAAAAAGGGCAGAAATGCTGAAAGTCCCTTGGTTTTATGCCCTTTGTTGGGATTTGAATTTGAGCTTGTATTCTGATTGGTTGTCAGACTCCCATGGGGCCATGCAGGGGCAACTCTGTAGGCTGTCCTGAGTCCCAGGCTTGGTTGAGTCTTGCTGGATGATGATGTAATGAAAGGGGTTAGGCCAATTCCTATAATAGCTCTACCTAGAGTAGATCTTTGTTATGTAAAATAGAGTGGCCTAGGTCAGAGTAGTGGTCCATTAGCAAAGCTGGGAGGGGGCTGAGTTTCTGCCTGAGTTTATACTTTTCTTTTTAGGGGAATTCTGCCTTTTTAGTATATCCTAAAATATTTCATTTTCCTAGGAGAGGGACGGGTTTTAACTTCCAACATAACAATTGAAAGGCAATGAAAAATTTAAGGGGCTGAATGCCACGTGGCTTTGGGAGGTGCAAGGAAATAAAGACAGAGACATACAAGAATACTTGAAAATCTATTCTCTATCTCCATGTCTGTCATATAGCGTATCGAATAATGGGTTTAGATTATAGGAAGCAGATTTAAATTATGTGCCACAAACTTTTTGATATTAAGAATGGTATGACAAAGAAGCAAAATGCTCTCTTTTTTTGCAAAGCAAAGTTTTAGTTAGTCCTGCTAAAGGTGGTGTCCGGCTATGGACATTCTATTGATTGATCGTAACACGTGTTTCAGCAATTCCAGCTTCATGAGATGGAATTCTGGCTTGCTTGAATCCCATCCTGCTTGAGTAGAATACCAAAATCAGTTGCTTAAATTAAGTTGGGTGTCTTTCATACCTTAATGAAGTATATTTAATATGAGATACTTTGTATTAGCCCTCAAAGCAGCTTACTGCAATGAAATTAAAAGCAGGCCATAAACACAGTCAAAATAGTCTTAAATCGGGGATCATTTAAAAAAAAATACTAATAAACCGTTAAAAAGCCTGGCGCCCCGCCCTCCACACCGGCTCGAATGACATTTCCTTTATCCAATCCCGTCCTGGTTTACGTCATCTCCGGATTGGCTGGCGATAGCGAACTCGAGGCCCTGATGAGAGCCAGAGCGCGAGGAGGAAGGTAAGATGGCGGCTGTTGCTGCGCTGACCAAAAAAAAAAAGTGAGGGCGGATTTGAGGCTCCCCCCAAGCTCACTTTTCCTCTCGCTCTTGCCAAACGGGTCCTCGGAAAAAGAAGCAGGAGGCGTGGGGGAATCGTATATGGCCGAGGGACCAGAGTCCCTGGAGGGGGAAGGAGAAGCGCCTTCTCGACTGGGTTGGGGAAGGCTTCGCCCCCGCGTGTCCGAATTAAGCGAAGCTCTCGAAGCGCAGAGAACAGAAAGGCGGCGGCGGCAGGGGAGGGACTTTTAATCCCTTTTAGGGTAAAAGAGGGAACATGTTTTGTATGAACTTTAAATAACGTTACGGTTAGGAAGAATCTCCCGGCGTTCCGTGATCTTCGCCATTGTGTAAAGAATCTTCTCTCCTGGTATTTAGTTACAGGAGCCGCAGCTGCTTAAGCGGTTAAGAAAAATAAAAATGGTTAATAGGGAGGGAAGGGAAGAAGGAAATGCCCAGCCTGTTGAGGAACTGGGACGGGAGAAGAGGGATGGTCGTCGCAAGAGTCTTATTCACATTTCTTGCCTTTTCGGGGTTCTGATCGGAGTGGTGTGGATTGTTTCAGGGTCCAGCGAATCCACGAATTGCCGGTAGCTGTATAACTCTGAAATAGAGAATCTCCGGTGGTTCAAGATTGATCAAGAGGAAAGCTTGATAGTCAGAAGGAAAACCGAAATAACCTTGTTGGAAACAAAGGGGTTTTTATGGTAGCAGAAGTGACTTTTTTTTTTTACTTATGTCAAATCTGTACTAACATGTTCCTTACAGGCACTGGCATGAACAGAATTCGCATTCATGGCTTGCCTTCAAATCGGGGGCAGCTCACTCCTGTGCCAAGGCCACAAGAAACCTTGTCCTGTGCCTTTGCTCACCGTCCATGCTCTCAGCCTCGTTTGGAAGGACTCGAGTTCTGCATTAAACACATCCTTGAAGACAGGAATGCACCCTTCAAGCAGTGCAGCTATATTTCAACTAAGAATGGCAGGAGGTGCCCAAATGCAGCTCCCAAGCCGGAGAAGAAAGATGGGTATGCATTCTCTATATGTTCACATTATCTCTAGAGATGAAATGTTGTCTTCCTCAGCCTTTGCAGCAGATCATTTCTTGTATCGTAGGTCTAAATGAAAATAATAGGCTACTATATGCATAGAATAATTGTGGAATATTGTAAAAGTTACATTCATGCAATTATATCATCCTGTGTTAAGACTGGATGCAAGTCATTTGGATTGTGTTCACAGATATATATATATATTTGTAGAACATTAACTGAAAAGAGTTGCATGTTAACATATACAGTACAAAAAGATTCAGGTTCAATCTGACATCTCCAAGGAAATTTGAGAAAGGATGAAAGTAGGGAATGCTCTTGAAAATCAATGCCAGTCAGGAAATATGGTACTTAAATAGATGAGCAATATCTGTATTTCACATGAGGCAGCTTTCTTTGTTCTAAAGCAGCAGTCCCAACCTTTGCTGCGAGGGGGAGGGGGATGGTTCCGCACAAGCAGTAGGCAAGCATGCTTGCACAAATGGAGCTTTGCACTCTTGCATGGCCCAGTTCCAAATAGGTTATGGTCCAGGAGTTGGGGACCTCTGTTCTAGAGAACATTTTCATATTTTTGACTTCTCAAATAATTCCAGAGTATCTGTTGATTAAAAATAAGGAGTTGTCGCATACCCATGTACAATTTTGAAGTACTTCCTCTCAAAACATCCAAAGTCAAGATTGTCTTACAGATCTAGCTCAATGCTAATCACAGGCTTAAAGTTTGGTACAAAGTTAATAGTTAACTGATTAAAAGAATAGTATATAAAATAGCACATTTAAATAAGCTAGAGTTATTACTAAAACGTTTCTACCCAATTTCTAAATTATTAAACATTTAAAACTTCAGTCTTTGTTTTTCAAAGCCTTTGATTGGATTGCTGTGTAGAACTATTGTATAGAGATCTTTGAGAAATGTAGTGAAAGTTAACAAAACTAGTTGAAACCTGTTAAATAAAGAGATTAGAAATAAAAAACATTAGAAAGGAATTTAAACTCACTCTTCTTTCACTTGTTGGCTACAAGAATGAAGAAAGGAAAAATATTATCAGGGTTTCAAATTCTCTTATACCCAAATCAATCTTTCATTCTTGAGTCGTCTGTTTCCTGACATGGTCCACCTTGAAAGGTTGACAATTGAATTGACATTCTTTAAAAAGTTCTTTAAAAAAATCTAAAGAGAGTCCTAAAACATTGTGTACAACCCAGTTAGATGAAATTTTTGCTCTCATGTGGGAACAAGGACCTAGGCCCTTCCGGAGGATTATCTAGTGACAGTTGCCTGGGTGGACGCCCCGTTGGGGCTTCCTTTCAAATCCCTGGCAGGAGCTGAAGCAAAGAAAGAGCTCACCCCACCCTATGTCAGCATGCAGCACTCAGGACTCAAACACTTGCTAACCTCCAACCCAGCATCCTAATCACAAGAGCTCTTAGATGAAATAATAATTAGGAAAGATACAGGAGCATTTATTTAAATTGTTAGGTTAAATTAATATCTTGCCTTTTAAAGCAGCATACAGTTTTCTCCTAGTTTTGCTAACACCAACCATGTTTGGTAGATTGGGCCAAAAAAACTCTGGAATGTGATGGTTTGTTTCATGGCTGAGGACAAAAGCAAAGCATGTACTCTGGATTATGGAACAAAGAATGATGGATGTCATTTATTTATATCACAGCAAATTGGGATTCTTTGGGGGGAAATGGCTGTGACTCTGCAACATGTTTAGCATTAAATTTCAAGTCACAAGGCTTTGTTTATGCATTCTCCTTTACCCTTTAGTCTCTCCACAATCATCAGGAATAAATCAGAAACATATTTCCATTTTAACTAACAGTTAAAACATTTCATTAAATCACAATTTGTTTGAAACTTGCTCATTTTACTAGTCTAATCCAAAGTTAGCAATAATGGAATGGATTCTTGAATCATGTAACAACAAAGTCCTCCTATTGGTGGAATGTAGACACCTGCTTGATAAATGTTTATGACGTGTATGTAATTCTTAGACTTTGTTGAAATCTGTTTCCTGTCAGTGCACACCTATATTGGCCATTGGACAAGGAAAATGGGAATCCCAATCTGTGATGTCTGGAAAGCCACAAACATCTCAATTTCAAGTAGCACAGGTTGAATATGAAAGTACTGTATAGATTTCTAAGTTTGCAGCTTTCTTAGAAGAGGCTAGGCCTGGAGACTTCAGTACATAGACCTTTAAGTATAATGTGTATTTTTTGAGAATTGAAGCATGTTACTAATCCAAACTGGAAACCTTTAGATGCATTGGGATCTTTATGGAACTATAGACTCAAGGGCACCCAGTTAGGGAAGCCTACTATAAGAAGAGCGTAAATCATTTTTGTTTTGTAGGAAGTATGTTTAGCAACTTGGAAAGCATTGTTTTATTGTTCCTTTTCTAATTTGCACCATATAGTGGTTCTCTTCATTTTGCTTCCCTTTTTTACAAGTGTTCAAGGGCAACATCCAGATTGCCGGCTTCAGTGTTTAATCATGATTCTACATTACACACACTCTTATGAGTGTTTTGTTTAAATGTGAGCTGCCAAATGTGCTAGTCTCATTATGGAATCCTTGCCTTTAGCCTACGAGGAAAAAGACTCCTTAAGGTTTGCTTGCTGACAACTTTAAAGGATGTTAAACGCTTTAGAGCAGTGATCCCCAACCTTAATCAGATTGGTAGCCCAGTGCAGGAGGGTGAATGGGAAGTGCATGCGTGTTCACATAACTCCACTGGTGCAAATGACGAGCGCATCAATGGAGTTTTGCACATGAGCGCGAGCACTTTCACTTGTGTGTGAAATTCCACTCACACAAGCGGCATTCACTTGCGTGGATGGAGGGTGCTTGCATATGGAGCTCCCAGTGACATGAATGGAGCTTCACACCCTCCACTCAACTGCCCTCCACTCACACGAATGGAGTTTTGTATGCATGCACTTGCCTGCCACTTGCTCAAATGGATCTTCACGCCCGTCACTTGCTTATCACTCACACGGCCTGGTTTTGGTGATCCCTGTATTAGAGTGAAATTCCATAATTCTCCTGAAAGCCTTGAGAACACATGCAGATTCAGAGTTAGGAAGTAAGATTAGCAGATAACTGTAGCAGATACTTCCCTGCCCCCAGAGGAAAGAAAAAGTTCTCATTACTGTCTTTAAAAAATAACTTTATGGGCCTTTAAAACATTTTAAACATGTTATTAATTTGTAATATAAACTACAGGTAGTCCTTGACTTACTACCATAATGGAGCCTGCCCATCACGGTCCTAAATTGTGACAGCTGTAAATTGGGTAATCTACATGACTGACCCAATTTTACAACCTTTTTGTGGCAGTTGTTAAGCAAACGCGATGGTCATTAAGCAAACCAGTGGTTTGCTGTGGCCAATTTTGCCAAAAACTTGAAAATGGTTTTCGCAAAAGTGATGTAAAACACAGGTCACATGACTGGGATGCTACAATCAGCCATGAATGTAGGCTGGTTGGTGAGTGCTCAAAATGTGCTCATTGTGACTGTGGGGGCCCTCAGCTGTCAGAACTTCAGAACTAGGTCAGAAATGAGATCCTTGTAACTTCAGATGGTCACAAGTTGAGGACTAGCAAATAGTCATATGTTACTACAAGTACTCCTCAGTTTAAGACCAAAATTTATGTTGTTAAGTGAGAATTTGTTAAGGGAGTTTTGCCACATTTTATGACATTTCCTGCCACATTTGTTAAGTGAATCACTGCAGTTGTCAAGTTAGCAACACAGTTGTTAAGTGAATCTAGTTTCCCCATTGACTTTGCTTGTTTGCAAAAAAATAATAATAATCACATGACCCCGGACACTGCAACAGTCATAAATATGAAAAAGTTGCCCAAGCATCTAAATTTTAATCACAATCATGGGGATGTTACATAGGTTGTAACTGTGAAAAACAGTCATAAGTTACCTTTTTCAGTGCCGTTGTAACTTTGAACGGTCACTAAATGTACTGTTGTAAGTCGAAAACTACCTGTACTATCATAGTACGATAGTATTACTATCACAATAGTACTACACTGTAGTGTAAAAGACTGAGTACTTTAATGAAAAAAATCTTTTTCTGTTAAAAAGGAAACAGGTGATCGCAGGGACTCGGGTGGAGGGGTGTGAGTGATTAGTTTGATTTCATTAAGGGGAAGAAAACAGATGAGACTGAGGTAAGGCAGTCTAGCCTAGTAGATGGAAGCAAAGAAAGTGAGACTGAGATGAGCATGTCTGCAGAAGTGATTAGTGCAACATCTCTCAAACTGAGCAACTTGCAGGTATATTCACTTTATTGATTCCTATAACAGAATTGGAAGGGACCTTGGAGATCTTTTAGTGGATCTTTCTTTAAACAATATGGAAGTGTTTCTTTGTTAGATATTTTGGAAATTACAACACATCACTTGCTGTTTCGCCTTTCTACCTAGTGTGTCATTCTGTGCTGAACATGCTCGCAGAAACGTGTTGGCCTTACAGGCTCAGATGAAGAAGTCTAATCCTAGCCCTGTAAGGGAGTCTCTTCTCTGTCAGCTGAGTTCCTATGCCAAGACGGAGCAGGGCTCTCAAACTGCAGAAAATAACCGTAGTGAGGGCAGCAGGATATTGGGTAAGCTGAAGAGATGATAATGTTATCTTGGGCATTTTTTATTCTTTTAAAATTAAATGCAAAGGTTGAATTTTATATAGCTTGATCATATTCTAACAAATCTCTTTCAATATGTAGTTTAAAACAAAGCAACCCAGAGAAAAGATGGAAGCAGATAATGTTCAGTCTCACCCGATACTAGGTTAAAATGTTTTTTAAAATTAAATGCATTTATATTTCCCTTTACCATTTTTTAATAATAGGTTCAGCTTAAATATCTTGGGAAGTCAGGAATTTATATTTTGGCAAAGGGCATTGACTCTGCATTCAGAAATTTAGAGCATACATATTTTGTTGTTTTGGTTACTTTATTTAATTTAGGAATTGCTCTAGAGGGAAGTTACATTTAACATATAAGTTTACTGATGAATCCTATAAATCATATGGACCATTTACAGAATAATCCGAACACTCAGAAAATGTATCTTTCTGAGTAAGCTGTAAAAGATAAGGATATCCTGTTTCAGAAGATGGCATCCTGTGCCTTTGATTTGTTTTTACAGAGATTTCAGCCTCAATTTGAGAGCTTTCCGGAACTAGCCAACTCAGTTTTCTAAAAACAATTTACTGTCACTTCCCTGTAGGTAGTTTGATGAAGAATAGAAGAAATTTAAAATATTAAATTAATAATGGATGCAGCATATATTAATTGCTGGATAGTTAAAATTAGAGGTGGAGGTGATTTGAATTTATGAACTGTCTTTATAATTTATACTTTAAAAAACTTCAACCGCGTAACAATCTCTTCCTTCTGCCAAATAAGATGACCAAATGTTGATGATGGTGCTAGGCTTGTTTCCTTACCAAATCAAGGTTAAATTATGGGTGTATTGGTCTGACATTCAGGTAACTAGAAAGGTGAGATTTTCCAATGATGCTCTAGTGATAAGTTTTAATGCAGAGTTTATGATTAAATGAGTATTTATGAATATTATAGTTCTGATTGATGGACATGCTTATATCAGCTTATAAATGTGTATGTTCATATGAGATTTTCACTTCGGTAGCTGTTTTAGCTTACATTGATGACATTACACTAATTTTACTAAATAATGTAGATTGTAAACATATTTTTCTTCTCTTTTATTTTTCCAGATGAAGACAGCTGGAGTGAGGGAGACCAGGAGCCTCTTACTGTGGATCAGACATGGAGAGGTGATCCTGATAGTGAAGCAGATAGCATTGATAGTGACCAAGAGGATCCTTTAAAGTAAGTCTCTTGAGTCAGGTTCTGTGAATTACTGTTGCAGAGTTGTGCAATAGAGATAGTTCATTTCCCCCCAAAATTATTTGAACATGTACTGAATATGAGCTTTCAAAGACAAGCGTAATCCTTTCTCCTTCAGAACAATTTGGGTTATTCTTCTCAGCATCAATCTTGACTAGTTCTCTTTTTAGGAGCACCAGAATAGTTGATGATGGAGTATATAGGTGGGAAGTTTCTGGGCCTTCAAATGTTCTTAAACTACAACGTGCAGTATCCCCTTTCATTGGACCTACTGACTGATGGTTGAAAGTTGTGGTTAATAGCATGTAGAGGACTTAAGTTTCATCAATCCTACCCTGTCCACAAAACCCTCGAGTCCAACCTGTATTCATAAATACATATTTTGAATATTTTGACCATTATGAATGAAAAATTAATGTTGACCATTAATCTACACCTAATGTTTTGTTTGGCCTGCCCTTTTTTTCTGAGGTACTTAATGAAAAGTATATTACTCCATAACTTCATTTATACTTTGTTTGTGGCTCCATAAAGTTTCAAATATTTCAATGTAGAGTTATTCCACATGTATAATTTGCCATATGTTCTGGTATGCAATTACGCAGCAACTGGGTAATGTATCAACCACATTTTACACTATCTGAAAATTATAAACAATTGTTCGGAGAAGGCCTTTTGAATGCATTTTTGAAAGCTGTCGTCTCATACTTTCTCACCCTTTAAAGTGTACAAAAATGTTTCAGACCATTACTTGTACTTAGGATAGTACGGTAAGCTCTAGAGGTGTAGCTCCTAAGCTTTGAGGACACTCCAGAAGATATTGTGTTGAACTTCCTCAAATTAGCATTTTGGTTTCAAAATGTTTTGCATTAAATATTCCCTACTGAAGGTCACAAGTCTTGCTGATTGATTTCTTTGCTTTTAAATAGCTTACTTTTGTTACCTGACACTGCTTTAGGTGATTCTCCATGTTAATGATTAGAGAGGATGAGTTGTGATTGGATCCTGTTTGTGCAGACATGCTGGTGTGTATACGGCTGAGGAGGTGGCATTGATCATGCGAGAAAAACTGATCCGGCTACAATCTCTGTATATTGATCAGTTCAAACGGCTTCAGCACCTTCTGAAAGAGAAGAAGCGCCGGTATTTGCACAGCCGGAAGGTGGAACATGAAGCCATAGGTAAATGGCTACAACTCTGAACATAATAGCAATAGCACTTAGACTTATATACCGCTTCATAGTGCTTTACAGCCCTCTTTAAGCGGTTTACAGAATTAGCATATTGCCCCCAACAATTTTGAGTCCTCATTTTACCCACCTTGGAAATATGGAAGGCTGAGTCAACCTTGAGCCTGGTGGGATTTGAACTGCCAAATTGCAGGGAGCCGACAGTCAGCAGAAGTAGCCTGCAGTACTGCACTCTAACCACTGCGCCGCCGAGGCTCAATAAGCTGAAGACATCACAAAAATTGATGTGAAATTCATTAGAGCAACCATCAGAAGCAGTTTACCAAGAGCTTAGAGGTTGGGGACTACTTTTTTTGTAGATATATCTTGATTTTTCTTGCCTGTTAATATTTATTTGAAGTGGTACTTATTAATGTAATGTTCAGGTTAATTAAACATTTTCAGGATTTGAGCACCATCTGTTCCTAAAGATAGGAGAGTGCATTGTAGCCACAAGTAAAAGAGAGCTTCATGTACCATATGTCTGAATTCAGAGATCTGTTGCAATCATTAAGAGAATATTTGGCTCCTATAATTAATAAAAACAATTATTTCCATGAATTTTGGAAGAGAAAGTATTTGCATAAATATCAATCAGTTATCCTATGGGACTAGCTAAGGAAACATTTCTTAATTGTTTCAAAAGTTATTTTAATTAGTTCTAACAAAGTTAGAGAATATTATAGAATAGAGTCTTTGAAATATGTGTTCTGAAAACATCACCCCAAAAGTCTTCCATGACAACACTGCTGGAAGATGGTGCTTCTAGATTGCACCTTGATTCTTATTAATTTTGTGAAGTGCTACATTTATTCTCAACAGTAGTAGAACTTTACAGACATCATAGTTTTACAGAACAGGGATGGGCAGCATTTCAAGGGTTGGGGGACACAAGACAGCCTTCCAATCTGACCAATTCCCAACCTTAAAATTCTTCCAAAATGGTCTAGCATTAGATACCAAAGGAGCTATTTTAGGCCTTAAGGTTGAGAAGGGTAAGGGTGGTGAGAGAGAGTAATGGAAGTAGGAAACCTAACATTCAAAATCACACTATTGAAATACAACAAAACAATGTTGAGTGAAGGGAAGCTTCAGGTTGCTCATCCCTGCAGTAGAATTATGGTGATCCTTTTGTATTTCTTCTCTGAAGCAACAATCAAATCTGTAAGAATTGAGCTAAAGCAGATTCTTTCTCAAAGCAGAATGAGTAAACTCCCAGAAGAACTCTTTTGATCTGTAGTAGAAGGGTATATAATATTTTAATTCTACACTGAGGATGCATTATTATGTCTTCCAGGTAGCAGTCTCCTGACAGGCCCAGAGGGTCTTATGTCTAAAGAACGTGAAAACTTGAAGCGATTGAAATATTTGAGGCGTTACCGACAACGCTATGGTGTGGAGGCTCTCTTACATCGGCAGCTGAAAGAACGCAGAATGCTGGCTACCGAGGGTGCTGGCCAGCAGGTAATTGAGTTACTTCTCTGTTTGGTCCACTGGTGATAGATATTGTATGCCTGATTATTTTACGAAAGCAAAGCATAAAAATGGAAGTAACTCTTGATTTCCAGATATGTGCAATCTCTGTGCCACGTGCAGAATTCAAAACCAAGTGTTTTCAAGGGAATACCAATTTGGGAAGAGTAAAACTCCTTCATGATGAGGCACATTTTAACCTGCTTTTTATGCTATGCTATTAATAAGTTCAGTCTGTTGTATGAGTATTAAAACACATGAAGCATTGATGTGTATATTTCAGAGGCTAATGTATGACTGAAAGAATTCATATTAAAACAGTGGCTTCTCTAAAAGATTATCTTGTCTTTGGTTTGTACCTTCCAGGCACATACTACCCGTTCTAGCCAGAGGTGTTTGGCCTTTGTAGATGATGTTCGATGTTCCAACCAGTCTCTCCCAATGACAAGACATTGCCTTATTCGTATCCTTTTTCTCTCTGGTGATAGTATTAATAGGTCTCCCAATTAGACCAATTAAACATCTTTGAGTTTTTAAAAATTAGTATCTTCTGAACAAAATCTTTAATCTTAAAAGTGAAACATTAAAAAAAATTAAAAGTACAAATTAAGAGGAAAAATTCAGTGTATATTTATGAATAGCCACTGGTTTACCAAAGTATTCACTAAGCTACAAGATATCTTAAAATAGTATCAATTCTGATTACAGAATCTCTGCCATAATAACACATATTGCTGCAATGGTAGAAAATACCTTTTCCAAAACAGATAGATTACGCGTTTCTGACAACCATTCCTTTGATGTCTGGAATATTTCTTAATATCATACTTTTTGCCATCAACCAGGTTTGATACAAATTCAATTCCTGATAAACAGTCAAATTCCAAAGCTTTGATATGTGATTCAACATCTTTGGTACTGGATGGGGTTATATTGCCCCAGAGAGACCCACTGCACAACCTGGGGGTCCTGCTAGACTCTTGGTTCCTGCTCAAGGAGCAGGCAACAGCCATGGGTAGGAGATACTTTGTACAATTTTATATTGTGCATCAGCTATGCCCCTTTCTGGACCATGAGGGTGCACATTATCATTGTTGGGGGCAATATGCTGACTCTGTAAACCACTTAGTGCTGTAAAGCACTATAAAGCAGTATATAAGTCTTAAGTCCTACTGCTATTCATGCCTTGTTCACCTCCAGAATAGATCATTGCAACATGCTCTTGAAGAACATCCAGGAGCTTCACCTGGCACAGAATATGGCTACATGAACAGTTATTTATTTATTAATCAAATTCATGTAGCCAACCATTTCACAAGAAGTGACTTAAAACACGTTAATGTGTACTATTGTAATTGATTTGAAGCCATCATCTCAGCTTCCACCAAACTCTTCAGTAAAGTGATTTCCCACCGATTCTCAAAGTAGTATAAGATATTCATAAATATTATCAAAACTCAATTTCTGTCCCAGTATGACCCAAACGTTTGTGCTTTTCTTGGCCCTGAATCAAGGCTGGTGGCTTGCTGTAGCCTCTGGTTTCAAGCAGGAGCCCAAAGAAATGACTTTCTATGGTCTGTTGGCTGTTCCATAACTTCAGAATTAAACTGGAACAGTCAATTCAGTTGGAAGCAACAATGAAACTTCACAAAAGTAGAGTTAAGCCACAGCTTGAAATAAAGCCAAATTGTTTGGATCCCTTCAGGCCCATGTGTGAATGTATATGAAAAATGGCTCTTCTAAAAGGCTTAATGTTAACTTTTAGGCCAGCAAAAAGTAATATTTAGAATTCAGTATGCTATGATATTTATTGATTGGAAGCTTGTGGACTGAGCTAAATTCTGTTGTAAACATGTTTGTGTAGTTTAGACACCTATTTTTATTTTGTAGTTAGAGAACAGAATCGGTCCACTAATATAGAACAATACCCCAGTTCTAAATCAAAAGTTGTTTTTTTTATTATTGATTAACAGATTATGGTAATGTATACACAGCTCCTATTTAACTCCCAATATTTTCTATCACATACAAGATTCTCCAAGGTGGGAAAGTGGTAAAGTTCCCTTTATTTCCCTAGTTTACATATTGTAGGTTTCCATGGTCAGATGACTTGCTTAAAGGTCTGCTTTTTATACCGACTATGCATTGCAAATTTTGCCAAATTTCCTTGACTCCATCTTCAGATATTTGCCAGGACACCAATCAACTCCTATTTAAATTGTGCCAAGGATCAGAAGAAGCACCCTGCAGCAAACCAGTGCCTGTAAACCTTTCTGAAAATCCTTGCTGCCCACTCCATCTACAGCTACCACCTCAAATGTATATTCCTGAACCGGTTCTGTGTGTTCCCGAGGAACTGGAAACCATTTCCACGGATCTCTACTTGAGTGCAGCTGAACTCCGCCCCACGGAAATTTTGCCACTGGAGTTCAGTGATGTAAGTATCTTATGAGGCATTGCAGAAGACCCCATGACCTTTGAGCTGGGCATGAGGCTATATATCAAAGGATATAGTGGGAAATGCAAATACGTACTTATGTCAGACTTAATGATGTCACCGAAAGCAAAAGAGAGGTAAATAATTAAGTAAGACAACCAGAGCTACAGAATGAAATAGTCATGTGTCACTTTTTTCAGTTCAGTTCAATGGTTCAAGCAGTCGCTGAGTGAACTGTTGTACATCAAGGACTACCTGTAGTTTAATACAGTGCATTGTATTAATGTTCTGACCCAACCCGGTTACCAGCAAGAAAATCTCAAACAAACTCAGTAACTCAAAACTTCACAGCTTTAATCTACAAATAAACTTCTCTGTAGATAAAAGATGGCTTGCAGCCAATTAGTCCAACCAGAAAAGCTTTGACAGGATTCTTCAAATAAGCCGGAGTCTCTACACATAAAACTGGGTCTTTAGAGCATTTTTGCTTTCTGCAAAAAGCAAAAACCCTTTGAAACCAGGCTTATATTCCCTGAAGGGAGGAGCCATTGTGTTGCATTCTTACTCCCGAGTCGCCTGTGCTGCTCTAGCTGTTCTCTTCTACGAATCATCCTGTGCTCACGCACATTTGGCACACGCTCCTTGGGAACCTCCTCCTCACTGCTGCCAGCTAACCACAACAATTAATCCTAGTAGGAAGGTATTTATCATCTGCCCAAACATTTAAAAATATCTTCCTAAATATTTTGTTTTTTTGAGGCAATCTTCTAGAGCAGGGGTCTCCAACCTTGGCAACTTTAAGACTTGTGGACTTCAACTCCCAGAGTTCCTCAGCCAGCAAAGCTGGCTGAG